CCCCAGTTCACATTCGGCCTGCAGGTGGCATCGCACCCTCAAGTCAATAAGGTGCCTTCTCAGGTGGAAGTCAATCAGTCCTCACTGTGACATGGCTGCAGGCATCGTACCCCCTTATTAAATTCAGATATACCCTGCTTGGGGACACCCACACTCAGCAGATTTTATGAGGAACATACCCCCCCCCCCACGCTTGGCAAATCTCCCTAATTTACACGACCTACTGTTGGCAGGTATGGCCTCGGGCCCACAAACAATGATCATCAGTTCTCTTGGTAGGGGGGCTCCCAAGTGATGCTTTGCCTCGGGCACCGGAATCGGTAGAACCAGCCCCAGTTATTCCCCGTAATGCTATGGTTACCATGGCAGTTATCGCAGCCTATGATATCCAGACAGTCACGCATGCTTTCTGCCAGTAGCCTAGATGCAACAAAGTAACGAGAAGTTACAGGAATTGTACCAATTTCTTCGCTCTACATGCCAAAACAACATAACACAAATGTTTGGTGTTCTGTTGTTATTTTGTGGCTATGATTTGTTCTGCTATTGGGTAAATGGAGCTATTATTTTGAAGTTGAGTTCAAAAGGGTTACTGCGCTCAGATGGCCAGCTTGATGGCCAGTCTGCACACTGCCAATAAATCGGACTCACCAGAGCAGATATTTCAAGTCGCATGTGTCTGATCAGGAAGATCAGACCTTCTCTGTCTGAGCATGCAGCTCAGCTTCTAGTCTAAGCACTTGTTGCCTCACGACTTGACTACTGCAACTCTCTACTGGAAGGTTTACCAGCTTGCGCCAGCAGACCATTGCAGTTGATTTAGAAGGCAGCAGCACGTCTGATATTTATTCAACCTAAAATGTCCCCATGTCACACTACTCCATGTCTGTCTTCACTGACTCCCTATTGGTGCTCATCCTTATTGGCGCCCTATTGGGCTAAAGTTCAAGGCCTTACTGCTGCCTTACAGGTTCATAAATGAACAGGTGCCCATATCTTTTTTTATTTTTTTTTTATATATTCCCTCCTCCACCCCCCCTCTGCGGGGGACTACTTTATCTGTATCTATTTATTTATTTATTAATTTATTTTATTTTTATTATTATTATTTTTTAATTATTATTTATTAATTAATTTTTTTATTTTATTTAATATTTTTATTTACTTCCTCAAAAGAAGGAGAGGGAGGGGGGGCACAAAGGAGAAGGAGGGAAGAGAGAGAGAGAGGAATGGAAAGAAAACAGAAAAAAAAACAAAAGAAAAAAAAGAAAAAAAAAAACAAGAAAAAAACAAAACAGATAATCTGCTTCCATGTCTGCTGAAAAGAGAAATACAACATACAACATCTGTACTAATCACAACAACCATCAAACGTTAAATGTTGTTGAACAGCACACACAACCAGCCTTACAACCCATGCCCAGAAACAACAGCCGATCAAGACAGTGTGTGTCCGTGAGCATGTGTCCGTGAGCACCTGTGTGTCAGCGCGCTGGTGTTCCTAAAGTTTCTCCATGTAAATGTCTAGTAGTGTGTGTGGGGAGCCACAGCCCCGCCCACCCAGGACATGAAGTCGACACAGAGGAGACCCGGGCCCCAGATATCCAGAGGCCCCCCAGGGCACGGGAACCCCAGGGGAACCACCGCAGGGACAATTGCAGCCCCCACCGAGAAAAGGGCAGAGGAGCGCTCCGGAGGGGGGCCATCCGGCAGCCACATCGCAGGAGCCCCAGGGGGCCGTGGCAGCGAGCACGCAGGCCCCGCCAGCGGCCGGCCACACCAGGGCAGACCGGACCCCAGGCCCAGAGATCCAAGGTGCCCATATCCATCAAAAAGCTCCTCAAGACCTATGTTCAGTCTTACTCCCTTCTTTCAGAAAACCAACACAGCTTGGAGCTCTGCCCATCCCGAACGAAGTGTCACTCCAGGCGGTTCTCTTGTGTGGTTCCTCAGTGGTGAAATGAGCTATTGAACCACTACCCCTTTCCACCTTCAAGAAATGCCTGAAGACCCATCTGTTTCATGAAGTCCTCTACTAACCCGATGCCGATTTATGTTCTTTGAATTCCCTTATGTTGCACTTGTGGTCCTTGAACAGTCTCATTAGCTTCTTGCTTTGTTATAAGTCAGTAGGTGTGTACTTGTTGTGTAGCTCCTACTCCAATACTGCTTACACTTGTACCTGGGCAGTCTTTGGAAGATCTGCCTAACAACACTTATGCCTACTTAACTCCTTGATAGTGTGAATTTTTTGCAGTTTACTATTTGCCTCATTTGTTGGTCACTTTAGACCAGGGGTGTCATTTTTGGGTTTCCCCTCATTTAACAAACCTGATTCAGCTCCTTGCATCTCCTTGTGCTAATTACCACACAGCTCTCGAGCTGAATAATTTGTGGTGGAACAGGGAAAGACCTAAGCTACACAGGGCTCCGGCCCCCCAGGACTGGAGTTTGACACCCTTGCTTTAGACAAAAGCATAAGCTATACAGTATATATGTAAATGTCTGATGTATATGCAGTGTGCAGAGCCAGTAATACTAGGGTCCAGTGATCCAGTCTTACAATATATGCCATCCTTTGTTTTGTGGGATAGTGAACTCTGTCCAGAGTTGGGAAATTCAGGTCCAGTGAGTAAAAATCCAGACCAGGATTTTGTTTCAACCAACCAGATGAATACTCTGTGACTGAAACTCTTTATACGTGACTGATTGGTTGCTATTTTATTACACACCATGTACAGCTTCATACATATTAAATGACCTTAGATTTTATTATCGCAAATCTACTCACCATCACCAATATTATTACTGTTGACAATTATTTGGAAAACATTACTCACCTCTTCATACATTTCTTCTAAGTCACTGCAATTCTTCAGCATGAAGTACGTGACCCATAACCTAATCTGTTTAAGAGCCGACACACCTAAAATAGCAAATATGAAAGAAAATAACATTAGTACATCATGTAATTTTAATTCCAATTTTCCAAAAATTTTTCTGGGTTTTCACAGAGTCTTTTTGGAAACAAGGCAATTTTCTCTTCCTCTGGTGTATTACATAAAGTCCGCTTACGAACTTTGGAAGCCTAGGAAAACATTTTCATTTTTAGTTTGCATAACTGAAGAGAAAGTCATGACGAAGTCATCTGCTTTCAGTAAATGACCGTGACATTCTCTTCCATCTTGCTCTAGTGTCACTGTCTTTTTGCCAAGCCGCATCTCTGCATGGCCAGAAAAATCTGCTGTGTTCTGTACCACGTGCCAATTGTTTGACTCTTCCCTTAATAACTTACAGTTCACTTGTGTGTGCTGTAATACTTAGACTGATTTTTGAGCGTGATTTGTGTTCTGCAGTAGCGCTGGAAGAAGGGGTGCTTCCTTAGCACCATCTCTGGTTGTTTGTTGTATTGCAGTGTCAAAATACCGCAGGCCAGTATGTGCAATTGTGCATACGTATATGGTCAGCTGGCCTGAGTGAGATTTTCAGTTCGAGACGAGTCTGCACACACATGTACATGCATTTTTACATGTATGCATCAGTTTCATTGCCTTGTAAATATTCTGTAGGGTTTACAAACTACCCCAACGCTTTTGTTGTAGCTCATTTTAGTTTTATAATGTAATAATATAGATTTGCCGTAAGCATGAGAGTCTGAAAGCACGAGTGTCACGCCAGATGCGTGAGAGCTGGCAGTCCGCTAACGTTTTCGTCAAAGAAAAACATAGCTTATTGTTAATTATCTCACAATGACTCAGAAGCGACTATGATTATTTCACCAAAAATACTGCAGTTGTTTGCTACTGATAGCTACAAATAATACAAAAGAATCTATTAGTCGTTCCGCGACTTTCAGCACCTTAAGTTCAAAACGTCTTCCCGCGCCTAGTCTATATTCTTCTGTATCCAATTGCTCATTTTTCGTTTCCATGGTTGTCTTCCCTTTTTTAAAGCGTTTTATCTAAAATTTCAAATCCATTCTTTTGTGTATATCTTTTTCAAAGAAGTGTTCATTTAGTGCACTAATTCTGCTGGCCTCCTCTTTCTCTTCTGTTGCAGGATGTTTGTGTCACAGAATAACTTTTGTAGTAGAGAAATGTCCAAGGATTACGCCACTCCACTCCACAAGTCTTATTAAGGGTCTGTAACACTTCCAGGCAAAATAATTTTTTTTTGGTAATTTTGTTTATGTTGTTCTTCATGGCCACATTCAACTGGATATAGTTCTCAGAACTATGTCACGCATACTGGGCAGATGGGTTTTTATAGGCCAGCAGGGGATCATATTTGGCAAAATGTATCACGAGCCACCCTGTCCGTCCTCAAACACACACATGACGAGTCTGTCTGGGAAAATGTCCAGAGCCGATTTTTAATTCCAGTCCAGCCCTGCTAACAATAGTCATAACTTCTCGTAACCTCTTCTTTTTTCTTTGCCTGTTTCAGTAAAATTTGTTCAATACATGTCCTCTAGTCGGCACTGTTGCTATTCGTAAAACAACGATCTTCGGAATAACGTTGAACCTTACGCATAACGTTATTGTACAAAACAAAACAAATATTCCAGGCAGCTTGTCGAAGTAAATTTGTTATAATCATATGACTAAGCTGAGTATGACGAAGCAAATGTCCTTCAGGTAACAATGAATGAATAATTCATAACAATGGAGACAGAGTCATGCAATGATGTAAAGACATATAATCATTGTTATTTTGTTAATAAACTTGACATTACTAAAACAGCGGAACAAACGTTCTCATTATTAACGGAGAAGTCTTTCATCACCTGGGCGTGACAAACAGCCTGACCGCAAACAGTTTATTATGAGCTGTTTACGTTTGTTTGATCTTTTACTATATTGCACACTAATATACCGTCGTATCCCTCACAAATCTGCCTTTTTTTCCGCGAAGCTTTGCCCAATGACGAGCAGCCTGGGCGGAGACAGTGAAAAGCCGCTCTTAAATATTCTCTATCCACTCACACTCTGTTAGATTTCACTGGTCTTGTTTCGCAGAACAAATCTACTGATAATTTCATTAAAAGGCACGTTTTCTTTCCCAATGGGAATGTCATTTTGGAATGATTCATTTTATTTGATGATCTGTTATAATTAATATTTACCATCGTATAATGTTAGTCCCTGAAACGTGTTGCTTCCCAATGGATTAAATCTATCGCGTTTTTTTTTACTGCTAGACACGGAGCACCCATGAAATCGGATGAATACTTAATGTCTTTGCGATCTCTGGGGACACCGGGGATTACCGCATGTAAACTACGGCAGCGGTGAGGGATTCCCTGCTCCAAGGAATGTGACCCTTCGCATCTGGCGGCGACAGCAAGTTATCCTTGTCATCTGAATGCGTGTCTTCGGTGTTGCCCCTTCCCTGCTTTGCTTTTTACGCTCGGGAGGAAAGTTGCGTCTGTCCCGGTGCGTAGGAGAATTCTGCACCATACTCCAGAAAATACTGTCCTTTCTTGATGGGACTTAAACCCAGGACATCTCTCTTCTTTGGGATACTCTGTACTAGAAATTGTTTTTAAAAAATAATTCTTATTTCCTCTATCTCTGGATCAGGATTACAATCTGATAACCTCCCTGCATCCTGTAGGCTACTTTTACATTTGGTTTTGGCGAAAGCAGTAATGGGGGGCTTGTGGAAGTATTATTTTGGAGTTTTCATGATTTCGTACAAGATAAACCTGGCAAGTGCAGTTATTTTAGAGTCTATCTATTGGAATACAACGAATACCAAGTAAGTTTAAGGAGTACCCCAAATTTATCTTGCACATTTAATTATATATGTAAAATTATTAAACGTATGTAAAGTTGCGCACAATTCTGTGAATAATATAATATATTTATATGCACACTCAGGGAAAATGCTCACGAAAAATGAAAGCAACACATTATTTTCCACTGGATATTCAATATAACTATGCATTTAAGAAATAGTAGTTGTTTTGCAGTTAAATGCACACACACACACACACACACACACACACACGTTCACGTCCATTACAATGAAATACACGGTCCACCAAGTGTCATACTGCGAATTTAATTCCCTGGTGTTTTAAACTTTTATCTTTTGCATAGCACATTTGCATAGATATAATAAATAGTTATAAATGTCTCGTTAGTACGTTTAAACACACTTAGTGTGCAACCTCATGGTTATCGGTGCGTGTTTTACGATTATAAAAATTCATAAACCCACGGCGCCGATTCGTATTTATAACGCGTTAGCGTTATATATGAAAATTTAAAGGATCTATACGTTGCAGCACTTCGTTAAACATAGTCTTGCAATAAAGTGAAAAAACTGTCGTCATATATATTATAATTACAGTTCGGGCGAAAACTGCAACCGATAGTGATGTTCATCTTACGAAATGTAAAACAAATAACAAATTATTTGCAGGTATACCAAAAGTAAATTAATAGGCCTAACTAAATTATTAACTTAACTAACTAGCTATCCTTCTTCCAGTGTTATTTAGTGCTCTCCGGTAATCTATAAAGACAGTGAGTTTTACATGTATATTTTATGAACATCTACATTGTACAAGAACAGTACAACGAATGTGGCTACAATTCCTAATAAACATAACCGTGTTAGCTTTAACTTATTATTTCTACAAGTAAACATACCAAAAGAGTACATAAATATGTATACTCTTACCCTGCCCCAGATTTACTAATTCTACATTGCCATTCACTAGAGCTTCATAGCAAAGTAACATATTACATGGTTTCAGCTTTTGTCGAATTTGTGTCCAGTGTCATATCAGGACAAACTGTGGCTGATGAATGAAAGGTGTAGGAGTAGAAAAGGCACTGAAGGAGGGTATGTAACTGTCACTGCAAAGCGGAAGAGAGGCCTGTCTTCCTGTTCTCTGTGTGTGTTTTTGTCATTTTAATTTTTCTGAAACTGCCGGTGAAATAGCAGCAGAGCCTGCTGGAAAAGCCATCCTTACACATTAGACATCTGCCTTAGCTACACAAGCAACTGCGGGCAATTGATATGAAGACAGTTATTGCCGTGTCTGGGGAGAAATGGTATGGTATCAATTTCTTGATAGATATCAGCCACTTTTTAACCAATTTCAATCATTAAGAAAATTAATTTACCTGAACTTTTATATTTTTGCAGGGTAGTGTTACAGAGTATGATTATGAGAGTATGAGCTTTAACTTCAAAAGAATGACATGAAAAAGAAAAAATGTAACAAGTTCCCTTGTAAATTTGATGAAATTCTCCTCGAATTGGTTATTTAACTATACATCTCCGGGCTATTAGTGATGGAGAAAAATGGGTGGTACTGAACATCATGGGTGAGAATGTGACTCAAGTTAAGTGTGTAATTGTGCAGACATCACTTCGCCGCATGTCTTTGTATGAATGCGTACTATAAAAATGATCTGAAAAACATATCTACTTCTTCCACCTGACAGTTTTATAATCCCATTATATAAGTAAAATATTTTTTTAACTATTCCTGAAAACACAGCCATATTTGTTCATGCGAGACAATGTTTCTTATAAAGTCTTATAGCAACGACTAAAGCTTCTCTTTTTCGATGTCAAATGTTCTCTCATGCTGAAATCCATCTTACTTCATCTTCGTTTTTATCAGTCTATCTGATAACACACATAACACATTGCACAGTTTTTTTTTTGCATACTATATTTTGATTTGAAGCAGAAAAGCTTTGTTTCACCAGGCTGGTTTATCTGGGTTGTGAAAGTGGAACGAATGCAATCCATGATACTCCATAGACTGAATATTCTGTAATTACTAGGTTGATTATCTTCACGGAGTATGATTAAACATCTTGATATGGTCATTACAATATATTTAACCCTGCTTTTGCTTTCAAAATTAATGGAGAATAGGCTTTTAGAATAAAGCCAAGTCTAAAAGATAAGAATGCTACGATTTAAGTGATTATAGGACTCTTGTTGCATGTACTGGGCAATTTCATCATAAAAAAAATAATACAATAACAGAAAGGTCTAAAAATATGAAGAAAAGAAGCTAATAATTACTGTTATACTGAGGTATTCGCATGCATTTTAAGATCTGTTCTTCAAAGGTGCAGATTTTTCAGATTTAAAATCCATTATGGCTCACTTTGAACTGCGTGAAGTTTTGTTGTTCAAGCTCAAAAAAAGAAAAGAACTGGGCAAGATTGACAATTTTTTATTTAAATGAAGCAGCATCTCACTCTGGTGTAGCATGTAAGGGGATTATATAGACATAACACCTGACCACTGAGGTGCAGAGATACTCACATCCCAGAAGAATGAAAAGGGCTCAGAAAACCATAGAGATAATACAAGATGCAGCCTGATTTGTTATGCACAGAAAACCTCGTTTCATTTCCCCTCGTTCTCAGCTCTCTTCCTTTCTCTGCCCTCCATTCCCTCTTTTTCTTAACAAGAGAGTTTAAGAGAAAAGAAGGATTGCAGGGGCAAATGAAATCCTCCCATTTTTAGCGAAAGGTGGACTGAATGAGACTGCTTCCATGGAAACGAAAAGAATAAACACTGACAAACCAGACTGTATATGTGAGGGGAAGAGGGGAGACTTAATGAAAGCCGGGGAGGTGGGACTTGAAGGCGGGTGGTTGTTCTGTGCGAACAGGCTTGTTTGTACGAAGAAAGGGTTCAGATAGGGAAAGGAGGGACGGTCCACAAAGAAGGAAATGGGACTCTGTAAAAGAACTGGGAGATTTAGCCCAATTTCTGTTTTATCTCTATCATTAATTCACACGCTGAACAGAATCTCTTAGCAAGATGGAGTAGATTTGTGATGATGAGTGAGAAGGCCTGTGGTAGTGAGGGAGTGGATTTGTGATGATGAGTGAGAAGGCCTATGGTAGTGAGGGAGTAGATATGTGATGATGAGTAAGAAGTCCCGTGGTAGTGAACTAGTAGATTTGTGATGGTGAGTATGAAGGCCTGTGGTCGTGAGCTAGAAGATTTGTGATTCTGAGTGAGAAGGCCTGTGGTAGTGAGAGAGTAGATTTGTGCTGGTGAGTGAGAAGGCCTGTTGTAGTGAGAGAGTAGATTTGTAGTAATGCAGTGGGATTCTGCAACTGGCTTGCTGGTCCATCTTTGTTAAAGTATATTTTAAGTATTAAATTCCTTAATAAAGTATATAGTAAAGTAGGGCTGGGCGATCTGATAACTTTTTCGTGATCCATCTTGAACACGTTTATGATCTAATTTTCAAGTGAATCATAGAGATTGTGATCTTTAATGTCCTCCAATTAGTTCTTTGAACGTCACATAAAACTTTGATGGCTAATAATAACGTGTGTCACTACTTGATCAGTACCACACTTCTTCAAAGCCAAATACATAGGCAACTAAAAACTAACATACCAAATAAAAAATAACTAAAACGGAAAACTAACTAAAAACAAGCCAAATACAAAAAATCACACGTCCAGTTCCTGTGTGGGACTTTGCCAGTAGCAATACAGGCAATATAGGGAATCAGCAATTTTATCAAAATGTATGCAAATACATGAGATGGGCCTTAACTTTCTATAACTGGTAAGGATGCAGGTTTGGCACATGGTCTAAAGTCCTTTATTACTGGAATAGTTTAATACTTTAATATCTAAAACAGTTGACTCAGATCCTGTAGTAGCCGTTTCCTAATTCAGCGGCTGCATCCTTTGAAGGACGTGATCTGTGAAGGCATAACCTTCAAAGGTTGAATGGAAAGTGCCATGAAATGGGACTGTCTGGCTGTCAGCAGCTACGGTCACCTGGCCGGGACACGCCCACTTTACCTTCGTGCAATGAATCTTGGGATATGTTGGGCTGTGAAGGATCCATCAGAATGCATTTGAAGGAGTCTTCAAAATGGGACAGCCTCGTCATGTTGCTGTGATGCATTAGGACTTGGAATGCAACCTTAGAAGGGTGTAGCCCCTGAATTCGGACACAGCAGGTTACGTGCACAGTCAGATATCGTTGCATTCCATTTACCTTTGAGGTCAGAAGATGGAGCAGGGAATGACATCACACCTGAGTTAACAACGAGGTTAACAAGTCGGATTAGCAATACCAGGGAATTGGTTCAAAAAGCAGGATTTCTTACTTAGCCAGATAACTTGACGGGCTTTATTTTCGTTTACTTACATTTAATCCAACAAACTATCTGGCTAAGCAAGAAATCCTGCTTTCTGAAACAGGCATTCCAGTTAGGAACTTTGGCTTCCAAATTCCAAATGGAATGCAGCATATTTCGTAAAGCAAAATCAAGGTCAGCACTTTCGGAGTTAATACGACAAAGCTACTGAACCACTTTTAAAGGAAGCATCCAACACAACTTTGTTACATATTTAATCAAAATTTGACTAAGAATTTAGTTACCATTTTGAAAATAGTATCCTTAATGCAATACTGTGTTTTAGAAATTATATTGTTAGATAAGTCCTTACACTTGTTTGAGTCTGAGTATTCTTAACAGTGCATTTCAAAATTGGGAAGAAATATCAGAATTCAGAGCATGGGTTGCAATTGTGTGTTATGAAGATTCTAATATCATTTTTTGGGAAGAACGCCCACCGTAATAGTAAGGTATATTAATATAAAGTATTTTCTTTAATGTTAAATTCAGCTTTCCTGGCCTTAGCCTCCCCAGACAAAGAAGTGATGGGGGGGGGGAGTCCTCCTGTGGATTACATAGGCCTTTAGTAATTTGTACACGTGAAACAGAAGCAGATTCATTCTATTACCCAGCATAAATCCTCATGTTTTCATATCTTCCTCAGAGACAGAGTGCCCTTTATCACGTGCTACAACTGGACCATGTCTGACATCACTCTCCAGTGTGAGCTATTCCCAGTCACTGCGTTTGTCCAGTGTTTCTTCTCAGTAGCATCAGATACTAACTGGGAAGTGGAGGAAGGCACAGTGTAGGTGTCTCTCATTGCCAGGGAGCAAGTTATTAATGTGTTGTATGGAGGTACTACAGTACGGACAAAGCATTCCTTCTGCAGCGGAGGCCGGAGATGAAATTCCCTTGTGTATAAAATACTTCTGTTCATCTAGGCAGGCATTATACTGGAACTTGTAGAATATGAGATGAAATGCAGGGTCAGCACAACAAGGGAAAGTTCGAGATTAGTCTCTTGCTGGGCTTGATAAAGGGAACAGAATGAAACCTGTGAAAAGAATAGAAAAAATGACGATATGGTTCAACTTAGACGATACTTGGAGCAGCTACACTCACAAATTCTTTTAAATATGTCAAGCAAGTTTTTTTTTACTGCTTCTGTTTTGTATTGCTTTTATAACTTGGATATATTTACCTGAACTTTTTTTAAATCAGCGCATTCCGTCCTTCCATCTTCCACAACCACTTATTGAATGTCGTTTTTTTTAACATATATGTCTAAATCCTTTATTGATAAGGTGTGTTGTCTTGTATTGTAAAGCAGTGATTTAAGGTGGCTGATCTCTCAGACCAGGGTTTCGAACTGCGGTCTGCAGGAGAGTGGTTCCAGTGGGTCGGCAGAGACGCTGATGCACCTGCTTTGCACTTTCCAAAAATACTGAAGGGGGATCTCCCCATTCGGAGGCCCACCCAGCCCCAGTGGTGGGGGGGGGGGGGGGAGGTGCCCCTTGGTAGATTTCGGTGATCGGGGTGGGGGGGGGGGGGCAAGCTTTGCTGTGTTTTCATTTGGGGGTCCCTGGTTTAAGAAAGACTCAGATCCCTTGATTCAAGTGACCATCCTCTCTCACTAGAGGAAACACTTAAAGCTTCGCTGATGTCCATTAGCTGATGTCCATTAGCTGATGTCCATTTGTGTTACGCTGCTCCAATGAGGGTGGCTTTTTGGACAGTAATCTGCAGAGGTATTTATGTACATAGTTTCACATGACTTAGGGTGTTATTGTACAAGATTTAGGATATGAATGTTTTTGGTAAATTCAAATAAAATGATTGCATCATTTGCTAACTAGAAGTGGCGTCAGATATGCAGGACGCACTGGAAATAAGACGAAGAGTTTGTTTGGATTGTATTTGGATTTGGTTTGCAGAAAGTCACAGAGCAACACGTTCGACCTGTCATACAAAAAATGTACGCATAGTAGTCTGAAAAGAATTTGTGATTGCTGTGTGTGTTTCTTCATTCAGGTTTGTTCCTGGACAGGGCATGGTGCTGTACCCCCAGATCGGGGACAAGATGGACATTGTGTGCCCGCGTGTTGAAGGTTGGGGGGGCGAGGGGGCAGAGTTCTACAAGCTGTATATGGTTCAACGTGCACAGTTGGAGACCTGCACTATCACCAAAGCTGACACGCCACTGCTGAACTGTGTGAAGCCAGAACAGGACGTCAAGTTCACACTCAAGTTTCAAGAGTTCAGTCCCAACCTGTGGGGCCTGGAGTTCTTCAGAGGCAAAGATTATTACATCATCTGTGAGTATTACTCTTCATTACTCCATGTAGCGGTACTCTATAAGTTCTATTTTTAAAAACGCTGCTCTCCCTTGCAGTGTTGCATGAAAGCACTTACGATAGGCTTTGGAAGTAACAATACAGACATGAGACCTTTTGCAATATTGTCTGAAAAAGCCACAATCAAGGTTGCTAGAATTTTCTTTCATTTATTTACTTATCAGGGATCGCCTTTGTATGTGTGAATGTCCCACATCTGTTATACATCCTGTCAATTTATACATGTTTGTATATCACGATCAGGCAGAGACCGATTTGTAAAATACTGCAGCATAAAAGTGAATATGTCCAGCTGAAGTTTAGGAGCCGAGTTCTTGGTTTCGACTTCCTGGGACGTCTTGACCAGGAACTTTTGTGTCTACTGGCCAGTTTCATGTGTCGCTTTCCCACTGCACAATGGTGACTGTGACCTTTATGTTAAATAAATATAGGAGACACAAAAAGCTTATAGGTTAAACGTTACACAATCACATGAAACTACACTGACACCCCAAAACAATGGAGGCTCAAGAAGACGTAACGCTAGTTATGTGATAGTTATTGGGAGGGATTGATTGCAAGGTCCAAAAATAGGGGACAAATCGTGTTCCGTATTGGTTTAAAAAGGGGAAAAAGTTTCTGGGGTAGGAAAACATCTGTTTATACTGTATTGATACATGTATTGAAACATGACATTTGCTAAACAGCAAAGTATGGATTATTGATATAAAACTGACAGAAGCCAGCTTAGGAGAGTAAGATGATCCTCTTTCTGATTTTATGAAATTAATTATTAAATTAGTTATGTGCAGGCATTTGGGACAAGAAAAGATTCTGATTTATCCTCAAAAGTGATTATATTTGTCAAACTGACTGGCTATAGGTATGGCTGAAGCTTGCTTTAGTAAACAGCGTTCTTGTTACTTTGTTACTGTTATGTTTATGCAGATTTACATTTCTGTATATTTATCAAATTTTGCTGTTATTGAATATGAAACTCTTATGAATTTCTGTCTGATTTCCAGAACTGTCTTTCTGTCAAGAAACACAGACAAAAAAACATTGTAGCGAGTGGTTATGTGGTTTGATGAATTATTCATTGGAAATTCTGGTCTTGCAACCTGTTTGCACAAAAGAGAGAATTTGCATATTTATTTACACATCAGTATATCTGAAGGTGCTGCAGGAGATATCGAGGTTACTGGTTATTACAGTGTAACGTTATAAAAGCATACACCCTCATTTTGAATGTGCGTTTTCCCTCCATCTTTACACAAATCACAACCTAAAACACATGAATCTCTATAAATCTGTATATGCCGCACAGATGCAGAAAGAATAATGACTATATTCACTATGGATAATTTGTGTTTCTTACATCACTTGGGGAAATTAACCCGGTATATCAGAGTTTGTACTGGATTGAATATATTGTGGGTAGAGGGTTCAATAAAGAGCATAGTTTTAATGATTCGGTAAAAATCCAGATAAAAGCTTTAGTCGTGGTAAGCTCTAACACCGTTCTTAACGTTAGCAGACATAAAGTAAGAATACAGTCAACAGAAACTGTCAGTACATTCACATTTGGGTGTGGAAGATTTCAGAAAGCTACTCAGCTTCTTTCATGAGCTCTGAAATGAGTCTCATGATCCTCTAACTCGATATTCCACCATACGGCTTGGGTTTGAAGCGGTGACAAGCTCAGCGGTCTAAGTCTCTGTGCCTCTGCTCAGAAGATCACTGGTTTGAGCCCAGCCTCAGCAGAGCAGCCACATGTCTGCAGGCCTTTGAGCAAGGCCCTTAACCCCAGCTCCAGGGGTGCTGCATGTTGATTGACCCCCCCCCACCGTGTTGTGGCTGCACCCCCCTTCAAAAAGCTATGAAGAGCAAGATGGGGTTGGTGAAGAGAATCATTCCAATGTCTGAAGAAATCCAGTTCCATTACTAGTTTTATTAATACAGACAAAACTGAAACCTTGATAAATTTGCTGTATTGCCCATTCGTGCAGCATTAGTGAAGGTCTACCACACTTTGGAGATGTATGCTGGACTTGTCAAGGGTTACGATCAGGAGAATGGAGCTTCTGGAGTTAAGTGGCACTGGGCACCCCATAACTGCATGCACCAGGGAAATGCAGGAAGCAATTACTGCATGTCACACAGCGCCACCACTTACAAATCTATCTCTCCACAAGTACCATCAAAGCTTTCCACAATGTTAACATTTTTGGAGCCTGATAAGTGACTTCTTGTTGACACTGGTATGTTGTGTTGGCCTTGGTCAGGTTTAGTTCTCTTAAGGAATCACACCTGTTTATAAGGTAGTGCTTGAAATCGCTGGAATTTGGGGGTAGAATTCGATTGGCGACAGCATGTCATGAATATTTGATGCAAATTTGTTTATAGTCAAATCAAACATGTTGGACTGTGAATTATACAAGTACAGCGTTTCAGTGCCTGCAGAGTGATTACAGCAATGTTCTGTTTCAGTTCTTAAACAAAGATGCCCTCTGAAGGAAGCAAATAGCCAAATTAGTGACAAAAGAGTGAACACTTAAATTCTTTGAGTGTTACTAACCCTGACCACGGGTGGGTACCTCTACTGTGACTGCAGTGTGACTCCTAGAGACACGTGGCTCCATTATGAATAAACAGTCCCAGTCTGCAAAGAGAGAGATGTGGCATTCCTCCCCAGGCTGTATGTGTTATTTGTGGTGCCCACTGCGTTTCCTCCACTTTGTGCTGCACATTTGTCTTTGCTGCATTATCATCCTCGCGTTTCGCTTTAAGATTAACTGCAGTGTATGTCTGTTTAATGGTACCATTGCCAGAGTGGAGATATGAATGGGTATGACATCATAATAGGTTCTTTTGCCAGTCTTGCAATATGTTTGTGACATTGATGAACAATTGGAAATAATCCTAAACTGCATGGGGCACTTTGAAATATTAGATCTCTTGGGAAAAGTGTAAGGTCATGCAAGTCTTTTTTGCAATCCTTGGCTATTTACTGCTGGGCGATTCATTAGATTTTCTTGGAACACAACACTGGTGTTGTGCTTTGCTTGAAGCAGAAGCATATATGTTCTGTGGATGCATGTAGGGTTAGAGTTACAGATTTTAATGGAAAAAGGGACCAGGACAAAATGAACATATAAGGATGCATTATGGTAATTGTATTCATGAATACATAACTATAGTTGAGCTATAGTTAATGGAGAAGCTTCTGTTTAGTGTTTTCAGGCTTTGGTACAGTTTGAAAGGAGCAGGCTGTCTATCTCAGCCCAGTGGAGGGAATACAGGCCGGAGTGTACAAGCAGTCAATCAGTGGATAGGCTCCCAGATGTTATTAAATCTGCATTACTGAATTAACTCAGGCAAGCAAGATGTTGATTGTAGTGAGTTTTCTGAGCCTCTAGGGGCAGCAGAACGATGCTGGGCTTGGAGAGAACACAGGTGATTGAATTACAGAGTGAAAATGTACTATTACCGTAGCAGGTGCTTGTGGAAATAACCTATACTAATTTAATTTACTGTGGATGGTAAGGCAGAGTTCACTTCAGGTGGCAGAGTCTCTTTCTGGATATTGTCTGGGTACAGTTAGAGGTAGGGCTGGACGATTTATCGATTTCATATCGAAATCGCGATTTAAAATAACGTGATTAGCAAATCGCAAACACTGCGATTTAAGATATGCATTATACGGCACGTCTTCTCGCATGCCAGTCATGCTCACCAATCAGAAGTGGCCTAAGACGACTGCATATAGGCCCACAAAAAGCAAACGCGTGAAACCCAAGGAAAATGTTGCATTTGCGGTGTGGAAACAATACTGATTTGGCTACTGAGCAATAACTGAATTTCCTTCCTATATCATGGTCCGAGATTGTTTCAGAAAGGTCCTATCATCAGTAGAGTCGGCGAGCTCCTTTTAACCACCAGCAGCGACATACTTCAGAGTATCATACCTTTTGTTTTTGTTAATGGGCAATAGCATTAGCATACCGCTAACCCATCAAAACAACAACGAGACAGTCGGTAATCCTCACAGCAGCGGAGTCAGTGACACCCAAAAAGCTGTAAAACCCATAACGACAGTTAGCCGATTATTAGAGGAGTAACAAAAGAGGAAAGAATGAGGAACATCGGTGCAAATCTGTGCTTTTAAGAAGATGGTTCTTCTATTCTGCGTTCAGCGTAGGGAAGTGAGAACCTTAGCCATATGTTGACATATTTTAGTTTTAATAGGACTTCTGTATCTACATTTCTGAACGGCTTTAATGGATAGGGTTACTGTGTTAGACCATAGCCAGTATTTGTTAGTCATGTGAAATGTAACTTGTTTGGAACTGAGTGGAAATCAGTATTTACCAGTGTACTGAATACGTAGGTGTGGCATACATGATCAATGAGGCTAGTGGCAAGTTTTCAAAGGGAGGTCTTCTGGCTCTTCTGGGTTTTTTTTCTCTTTGATATATACATGTAATACTGATGCTGGGTGCTTGAGCTTACCTTGTTCCTCTCTCATTCTCATAGCCACATCTAATGGCTCCCTAGAAGGACTGGAGAACCAGGAAGGAGGTGTGTGCAAGACCAAATCCATGAAGATCACTATGAAAGTTGGCCAAAGTGAGTGCAGCCAGTGGCCTTCATGATGTTAATAAATGTTGTGTGTGGGCTGGTAAAAGATTAAGGGGAAAGAGGAACGATTAAGGTGCATGTAATGAGACCTGCTGTGACCCTCTGCTTTGTGTTGAGATTTGCGTTATATCCATGATTGCTTTGTATTAAGCATGTCAGTTTGGCTACTTCTACATCAGACTCTTTCCAAGCCCAAATCATTTTTCAGCCTGAAATTAAAATGTCATGTGTACAACCTTCCTGTTGTCATGACAGCTGTCAGAATTGCTAAATCGGATTTACAGCATCTCGGCTGCTATCAGTTCAGTGTCTGAGCTCTGTAGCCACAGGGCATTGTCTGCGATAGCACTGATACACCTGTATACACCCGGATGAATTTCCCATAAGATAAAAAAATTTGCAAATCACTTACCGCCTGCCACCTTTCTGAAGCTTACACCCATCAATAAAGGCCAGAGATATGAAAAATTAACGAATTTCTAATGCTGTAAATGGTGTTGTCACACCTACAGTATATAGAACACTTAAGCCAGCCTAAGTAAATAGCTGTATGTGAAACCTGTGTTGTTCCAGGTCCCAGTTATCCAGTTTCATCCAAAGATTATCCTACCAGACATCCGCCCCGGTACCGAGAGGGACTGGGGAAGGTCTCCCACAAAAAACTGAATGATTCAATGGAGAAACATGGTGGGTAGAGACTAATGCTAACCCTAACTTAGCCCTACTGAAGATGCCACCAGGCTTCATGAATGAACATGGTTTTTAACAGAAAGTGTGTTTATAGATGGATGTGGGTCTGTTTCAGTGAGGAACATGGTTCTCCTGGGTTCAGTCGCTGCCCAGAGAGGTCAAGGTAGATTTCTGTTGAGTTATGAGTGATTAAATCCAAGGTGATTTTTTTTTCCTGGCGGCGTTATACTGAAGCGGCCCCATGTGATGCCATATGACCATGTGACTTTCTTTCATCAGGGGCCTCGCAGCAGGAAGGTGAGACCAGTGGAAAGGGTGGCAGGTCGACCAGTGTCATTGGCTCTGAGGTGGCACTGTTTGTAGGCGCTGCATCGGGCAGCGTGATCTTCATCATCATCATCGTCACCCTGGTGGTGGTGCTGCTGAAATATCGGCAGAGGCACCATAAGCATCCGCCCCAGCACACCGTCACTATGTCGCTCAGGTCCCTGGCGACACCCAAGCGTGGCAACGGTGGTCACAGCAATGGCTCCGAGCTGAGTGACATCATCATTCCGCTCAGGACTGCTGACAGCATCTTCTGCCCACATTATGAGAAGGTGAGCGGTGACTATGGCCACCCTGTTTACATTGTTCAAGAGATAGCACCCCAGAGCCCCACCAATATCTACTATAAGGTGTGAGCTCCACCAGACAGAGTGTTTGATTTTTAAAGATTATTATTACGGGACTCATAATTATCAAGACGCTGGAAGACTGGCACGTCGGTGTCATCGCCGGAGCTCCTTCCTGGTACAACCTGTCATGCTAAGAATGCTGAATGTTACCCTTGGCTTGGACACTGACCTGTGAAGCACAGATGAGTGAAGGACTGTGAAGGATGCACTTCACTCTGGGAATATCCTTCAAACAGAACTTTTGCCTAGGATATAAAAGCAGAGAAATGCAGTAGAGGAATGGGTAATCATTTACTAATTTTAATAACAGTTGATCTTTGGTTGATCAATTGATGCTTTCTAGAGATAATCTGGAGAGGAATTGTGGGGAGAAAACAAGTTATACAGACACTGAAGTGGGGGTCCCGATGTTTGTGCCTATCTCATGAATGTATTTCACTCATTAACAGTTAGTGCAATGCTTGTCAGATTGAAGTTCTGTTTCCTTTCTGTCTGCTGCCTTTATATTGACTCTAACAACATGTGGAGTTTGAATATTCTCCCTGTGTTCTCCGGTTTCCCCCCCCCCCACAGTCCAAAGATGTAGAGTTGGGCTAATTGGTGTCTCTAAATTGCCCGTAGTGTGTGTTTATATGTGGGTGTTTGTGCCATGTGATGCATTGGTATCCTGTCCAGGGTGTACTCCAGCTTTGTACCCTGTGCTGCTAGGGAACGGATCCACCCTCCACCATAAGGGCAAAGGCTCCACCCTTCGCTATAATGGAAAGCCCCCCCGCCCACCCCCGTTATAATGGCAAGGCCCCACCCCCCACCATAATGGGATAAGTGGTTAGAAGGTGGATGGATTATATAACCATTCATTTAGTCTTTACGAGCTGACATTTATTCACTTTCGTTTCAGCACTTTCCATTGAAGATTTCTGTAATTAAAGCCTATTGAGGACAGGGTTAGGAGCTTAGAGAGAAGATTCACATGGAAGGGGAGAGAGTAAAAGACTGGAGAATTATCAATGCAGGAAAAACCTGGAAGAATGAAGAAGTGCACTCATATCTCTATGACTGTGAGTTACAGGATATTACTTTGTGAGAATTTGGGCGTTTTTATTTCTGTTGTACTGTCAGTCGATTTTGGGTCTCGTATCAGGCCAGGAAACGATATGATCCAGGTTTTGGGCTGGTATCACCTCATCCTCGTGCCCCGTACCCACAAAGACAAATATGGTACGAAATCAGCAGAGCAACCTCAATCACATCGAGTTTCATACGGCCTGAGTGAACTTCCCTCTAAAGGATCTTCCCTGATGGAGAAAATAATTGAGTTCAAGAGTCATACAATAAGAAGTTTCCTTCCTTTCACTGAATTTCATTTCAGATATTAGAACCCTGGTAAGAAATCAAAGCTGCTGCAGGAAGTCAGTTTAGTGCCACGGTTCTGTGCTGTGTGGTCAAACACAACTGACCTGGCCTTTCAGTGTATTCACTCCTTTGATTTTATTGTGATACATTGTAGAGGGTAAAGGAAGACGCAAACACATTTTATGAGTTTATTTAAGATTTAGAGAGCACTTTTTATCTGAATAGGTAGAGTATAAATAATACATTGTGGTCTTGCTCTGTGTCCCTGTGAATTTTCATTGTTTATTCCCATAGACACTTCTAAGCTGGCTGTTTACAGCCACAGGGCTCGTGATGGAAGGGTTCAGGTGGTATGGGAGTCTCTGTAAGTGCTTCAGAACCTAACAGTGTCAGTAGCTCCCTCTGCTCAGGGGCTCCGAACTGGTGGTGCTGCAGACTAGCTGGATCCAACCATTGTCAAGCTTATTCCACTCTATTGTAGCAGCTCCCAAGGGATTCTGGGATTCCCTGCTTCCACTTTGGGAATTTGTTTAGGCGAGGGCATGGGTGTGTGTTTGTATACCTTCTCTTCAAGCAGATTCGTTATTTTTATATGAATTATGAGCATCTCCCTTTTTATTCCACACACGTTATCACACCACATAATTCACAGATGTCGTGAAAACAGTATATGGAGAAACTGCGGAAATCACATCAGTAAACAATTTTCCAGCATTCGTTTGGAATGGTTTACATCATATAGCTGAACTGTCACTCTGTCACTCTAAATCAAAATACGAAGAAGGTAGGCCTTGGGTAACTAGTTTGCTGCTCTGAGGCCAAATTCCTGCAAATATGCAATTTTTTTAAACTTAATATTCTGTACCCAAGTAAGTGTTCTTAAACCATTGTTAATAAACTTAACATATGATTATATTCTTTCAACCTGCTGTTTAGGTTAAGTGAAATTTTTATCATTCACTACATTCAGTAATTTGATTATGTGCCATAACTTTAAGTAAACTGTGAAAAAATCTTAAACCATTTTTATATGTATATTTAATGCCACAAAATTTCTTCAAAATTGCCAATTTTTTGGCAGAATATGACAATCTTGTTAGTTTCTTTATATCTGAAGTCCTTACCCAACTAACACATAATATTCTCAGACCATTAAGGACCATTATAGCATTCATTCATGAAATATTGCTGTGATGTTATGCTTTAGTTGGGATTAGCTTCTTCAGACTACTATAGAATGCCGTGCTTATATGGCTAGTGCAGGTCTGAACTTTGCACCATGAAGTATTTAATAAACTTTATGTACGTGTGTGCATATATATATATATATATATATATATATATATATATATATATATATATATATATATATAAAATATCATATAACATAATCTATATGAAATGTGAATTATGACAGCCTTATTAAAGTTTATAGAAAACTAAAGAGGAACAAACAATATACATGACATTACATAAGAGTCCACTTTTTAGGAACCAGGCTGTGTAAATATTAAAGACATTGCCGAAAAGTGTTTTTAAGATTCTTTTGTAAAAATGACAATTTTTTTGTGATGTATTTTCACTAGATTCTCCCCTGTCCCTCTGCATTGTTTCATGGAAATTCTTTAAAAAATAGTAAATAAAAAAAACCCTTTGTCAGGCTGACTGTTGCATACTTGTGCCATAGTTGTGGTGCTTATTTGTTTAGTTTTGTTACATAATGGTATGAAACAGCTGTACCTTCTTGTGCTTGTTTTGTACAATCTGTTCTTTGCAGTTTTTTCCCTTCAGTTCAGAGGCCAGGCTGTGCAACATTTAAACAACAAATAAATAAAAATTCCGCACTTTCCTGTTACAAACGTCCCAATAATCCCTGTGGGTATGATGTCTTTGTTGTAATATGTACTTGAGTTCCTGCTTATGAACTGCTGCTTCTGTGTCTGTGTGTGTGTGTGTGTGTGTGGGGGGTAATGTACTGTATATATTGCACTTTTTTGGTCCCCCCAAGGACTTTTTTATTAAAATCTGTGACTGCATTCATAAAACTAAAAATGCCAAAATACTTTTTGGTTACTTATGGTTAAGGCTGTGTCTAAATTGGCCCTGTAGTTGTGTGGGTGCGAGTGTGTGTGTGTGGCTGTGTGTGTGTGTGTGTGTGTGTGTGTGTGGCCCTGCGGTGTGTTGGCACCCGCCCAGGGTTGGTTCCCGCCTGCGTCCCTTGTTCCCAGGATAGGCTCCGGGCCCCCCCGTGACCCCAGTGGGGATTAAGCGGTTACAATAATGGATGGATGGATGCTTAAGGTTAGCGCTGGGTAGGGGTTAAGGTCGTCATTGTTGGGATTAGAATTTTTCCCATAGAAGTGAATGGACGGTCCCCACAAACATATAACTACAAATGTGTATGTGAGTATGTGTGTGTGTGAGCGGGTGTACCTATCCTTATGGGGACACAATGTCCCCATAATGTGGTAAATATCCGTTTTTTTTTCCCTTACGGGGACCGGTTTCCTGGTCCCCATAAGGCAAAACTCTATTTTATAAAAATCGGTGACTGCTATGAAAAAGCTAAAAATGCAAAAACTCTTGTATTTTGTTTGATTACTTGTGGTTACGGTTAGGGCTGGGTGGGGGCTAAGGTTGTCATAGTTAGCGTTAGCATTTTTCCTATAGAATTGAACGAGCGGTCCCCATAAGGGTAGGTATACCCGACATGTGTGTATATGCATGCGTGTGTGTGTGTGTGTGTGTGTGTGTGTGCGTGTCATCTGCAGTATTGTGGTCGTTTTCCTACTGCTTCTCATTCCCAACAATTATTCCGGAGGCCTGGAATCCCCAGGGATTCTCCGGCCTTCTCCAGGTACCCGTGTCGAGCCCTGGGGGCTGCAAAAATTGAATGCAAAAATAAACATATTAAACTTTAAATAAAAATGCTGTTTTGTTCACCTACAGGTTTGGCACAGCTATCGGCTTTTTAAAGCTGGCCCTATAGTTTGTGTATTTTGTGTTATATATCAGGTATATATCGTGGCTGAAGAAGCATCATCAAATTTTAAGGGTGGGCGTAACAAACCATTCCGGTGGATAAAGGAAGAAACTGTATAAATTGTAGATCATTTCAGCGGCTGAACGAGACGCAGAAGTGATGCAATAAAAAGGAGCCAGACTTTGCATCAGAGTGGATGCGAGACTGACAGACACAGACATTAGGATTGATAAGAGACAGTAATGCTGTATAATGGATAAAAAGTTGCACAAGAGGAAAAGTGAAGAAAGATATAAAGATTCAAGAGCTTTATGCCCCCCTGCCACCATAGTTACCATGGATACAAAGAGCGCATGGGTTACACTCCAGAGATTTGCTGTGGTGGTGACTGTTTCTGTTTGATCAGAATTGATGCCCCCCTCCCCAATCTCCACCCCCATGTTTTACAATGAGCCTCTCTTGCCATCATCCTGTGGAGCAGCCATATACTGTACTTCTTAGGTGGACATTCCTCAGTGCCAGCATCCATCATCTAGAGCTTGAAAGCAGCTTCTGATCTTGCTGACATGAGGCTCGAGAGTCACCCTCACCTCCAGATCTATTAGATGACATGGTACCCCTCTACCAAAAGCATTTAGACAATCACATTCATTTTTATAGTGGACTGCTATTTGAAAAACAGATGTCATGGGAGGAAGTTTTGCAGTTCTCTTCCCAGCCACGTCACAACACATATGGTACACAATAGATGGGGCGAGAAGATGAGTGGAGAAGTTAGGGTTGAAGTAACTAAGTACACCCAGCCAGACGTCGACATGCTTCCATACCAAGTGTACAGAGCAAGTAGCCAGATACCAGCCCCATGTCTGATCATTATTTCTTATTTGTATCATAATAGCTAAAGGATGTATTGAGTAGCGATACACTTCACAGTTACAACAACATTACTCCATCGTTTCGAGAAACCAGACAAGGCAGCATTAGCTTTCCTGAATGGCCAGCAATCAGCCAAGACTAACATGGTGATGCATTTATGAACTGAGTGAAAATTTCATGAAAGGCACCTTTGCATTCTTCAGTCCAGTGCTTGCCAAAAGGTTCTGATCTTTTAAAGTTTGGTAACTCTAATATCCGATTCTCGTCTTCTTTTGGATTAGAGGGTAGGTAGCCTCAGGTTTCACAAACACGCCACAGTTATGGTTTAGTGCTCAATATTACCTACACAGCTCTAAAATTGATCGAGTGCTTTTATATCCTTCAGGCGTTTCCATGATCAAAAACACCACGTCCCACATATCAAACCTACGTGTTGGGCATAACGTCAAAGTCATCGAGAGGCGGTTATAACTCATATTGAGCCAATCTATCCTCATGTTCTTCTAATATCCCTCCAATAATGATGAAGTCATCCAAGTGCATTAGGACCCCATCTATGCTCCTATCCCTCATCTTCTCCTCCATCTAGTGATGAACATTGTGGAGCTCCAGTGATTCCACATGGTAGACATATAGATTTATAGAATCCCAGTTGCCTTATGTATGCTGTCTTCTAGTTATTTTCTGTGCTCATTTGACAACAGCCACTTCTTAAGTGACAAATAGACATGTACTGTCACATGGTCTAAATATTGTTTACGTGAGCTCTTCCTCAAAGTAGGCTGACTCTCTCAATTATGACCACTAACTTTGGATTCTCTGCATTTCCACAATCATCTTCTACAGTGTTTCTCAATCCAGTCCTCGGAAGCCCCCAACCGGTCCACGTCTTTGCTCCCTCGCAACTTTCAGGGAATTGGGAGAGAGTAAAAACATGAACCGTCGGGGGGTCCCTAAGGATTGGTTTGGGAAACACTGATCTACTAAAATCCCACCCCTTTGAAACATGCAAGAGGTCACTCTCTAATTTCACCTTCTTATTAGTTGTGGGTACAGCTCTGCTAGTTGAATTGACAGTGTGGCCACTCTGTATTGCAATTCCTACACGCATTTTTACTTTCCTCTTTCTCTGTTGAAGTCTCTGGCAACCTTCTTCTGTTATCCCCAGGATATGGATTTGATGACTCATCAGGCTGAGAGAGTAACTGCACACCATCCCTTCCTCTAAATACACACCTGTTCCAGCTCTTCAATTTCCTTTACGCCCTGCTTGGAGGCTAACATGCTTTGCATCAATCACATTGATTTTTCAAGTGACTGTTGTAAAGCATTTTGTTGTCCTCCCTACATAATCTTTTGTAATGGTCGCAAAAAGGTGGGCATGTAACAGCGCATTATGTCATAATGTCACATTATGTAATAACTTGACAGAATGTAACAAATTGAATGATGATAATAATGACGATAATGATTATGATAATAATAATAGTAATAATATCATATATGTCATCTATAAATGTGTTACATTTTGTCAAATTATTACGAGTTATTACAGTGTGTAACAACACATTATGTAATAACCGTATTGTGCGATGAAAATTTGCCGCATTTTGTTGAGTTATTACATAATGTGACATTATTACATAATGTGTTACAGGGCAGCAGTTCTTTTCGTTTTCAGAGATGCAGAAAAACTTCAAGTTAGTTGTCAGTAGTGAGAGACCCCACAACAACTGCTGTTATCTAATCCAGTTGGACTAGAATACATCTCTCTCTCTATTCTTCACTTCCTTTTGCAGAACATGTTCTATACAGCATATGAAGTTAGACATCATTTTATCAGCATGGTACCTAAAAGCACGGACACAAAAGTATAAAGGTTTGCTTCTTGCACAGCATGGATAATTAGCAAAGAGTGTACCTCTGGAGTTTAGACTCTCAGCAATTTAAAGTTTTCACCAAAAATCAGGACTGGGTGTTTTAATGCATTTTAATGCACTGTAAGGTACCAGTGAGCGTTTCACTGTGTCGGCAGTGTTGCAGACCTGAAAAGCTTTGAAAAAAGGGTAAAACAATTTTCACAAATGCTGGGTTTTGTATATTATGTTCAGTGCTGGTCAACCCATTAGGTGACATTGGTAGTTGCCTGCGGTGGCATCTTCTGCGGGGACACTGGCGTAGCCAGGCAAATTCAGTTTTGGTGCTTTTCCACTGCCACCAAGAACTGAGCCGTATCTGAGCTGTACACGAGCTGAACCCGCGCTGACATGGTTCTACTTAATGGCAGAGCTGAAAGCGTGACCGAACTGAGCTGGTTGCTGATTGGTCAAAATGCATGGAGATGCTGGTGTTCTGCGTATGGATTAACTGAAGGAAAATGCGTATATTCTATATATTTTTCATTATTAGTAGTATCGCGTACTGTGATGTATCAGTGCATTGCTAATGAGTTGGAACTTGAAAATTTCAAAGCCCCGACTTAAAAATGTATTATATTAGCTGAAAAGAATAGATTCGTAATACAAATTTATGAAAGCTAATGCCGATTTCGCTAACATTTGATGCTAATGTAATGCAGCGATCCTCACAGACATGCTAGCAGAAATTAGAACATAGTAAAGCATGGTGTTCACCGTGTGAACGGTAAATAAGCATCTCTTCGGCTTTATGTCACTGTTGTTCTCCAAACCAATTAACGCCTTTACCGATCCGACCCTTCTGCAGTGGAAAAATGACGCGAGTTGGATCTGCGCCATAACTATTGTCTCTTCGTGGTACAGATCGGGTACGGCTTAGTTCCTGTATGCCAGTGGATACGCCCCATTTGTCTTGGACACAGTGCACTGGCAGTGAAGCTTATTATGGGCTCCACATGGGCTTTGACCAACACTGATTGTATGTGAGTGTGTCCCCTTCAATGGTTCCCCCCATCTATAATGTCTCCTGCTTGTCGCCTATGTTTCTTGGGAATAGGCTCCAGACTCACTGTGATTTTG